TATGGCATTTGAATTGAAGTATCTTCTGAATGAGGATCACGTTAATGATAATTCGATTCATATAACATATTTTTCAACTGCTTATTCTATCCCTTTAATGTTAGAAAAATTAACATATATCCCAAATCTTCTTTGGGAATCCTATCTTTGTGCTTTGTTGTAGAAATATTAATCATATACTACGCATCAAAAGTTATTATATAGTAAAAATATTTAGTTTCTGATCCTAAACCAATTGTGAGGGGAAGACTTATAATATATTTGTCGGTCTAATGCATACAAGTGTTGTTGTATGTAATTTAGAAAATCTTATACCAACATATGAAGCTTTGTTCTCATAAGCAATAGTTTAGCCATTAATAGGAGGTATTCAATGCTAAACCAACTTGGATATAAAACAGCGTTATCAAGATGAACTGTCTTGATTTCATAATCTGAAAATCATGCTCTTAATTGAGAAAAGCAATTTCAAATGCCAAACTGCAGGTTGACAATAAACTCACATGTAACCATCTCATATATGCATTTATAAGTGGTTCACATAATAGGTGAATGAGCTCATATTTACCTTTTATATATTCCAGAATTCAGGGGTCGTAGTCCCAACTTTAACTGGCATAATCAATTTATTATGAGAACAAGAAACACAGGAGAATTCTTGAAGAATCTTCTAGTTCTTCAATATATGCTTATGAGAATTCTCAATTAGCTCATCATGTTTAAACCAGATGGCAAATAAAAACTTGCAATTTATTATGGCATGTGCTATCTTTTAGTAAATTTCTGATTTACGATGGCATAAACTTTTATATCAGTAAACTTCCAATTTACTATGGCTACTTTTATACCAGTAAATTTCTAATTTTCTGTAGCTACTTTTGCCTCAGTAAAATTTTTTAGTTTACTGTGACTACTACGTGATGTAGTACAAATTGAAAAATAAGGCGGGTAACTTCTCACATACATATTTATACCCTATGATTGTGGAAACATGAAGATTTTCAATCTTTCAAGCATTTGTAGTCTCAGTATGATTGTCATTTATATTAGTAAACTTCGGGTTTATCATAACATATATTTTGACCACAACAATGACAAATAAGCTCTTCGGGAGCCTTCAATTTATTGTCCACAATCAAATATCATTCAGACACTACTTGTGTCATGTGTCTTCTAGACAAACAGTTAGCTCTTCGGGAGCTTTTGATAAATTTTGTACTACCAAATTTGCTTAGACACTTATGGTGTCATGAGAGAAAATCATAATCAAATGAACAAAATAAAGTCAAATCTAAATTTATAAATAAAGAAAATTAAGAATTTCAATATTTCTACCACTATCGTTGTGACAAAATCTCCTTCAAGGAGTAATCCCATAACATCTGAATATTTTGTATAAATTCGGCAACCACATAGTCATTGCATCCTTTAAGGAAAAATACACGAACTATTATTTCCTTCGGGGGACTCAATAACTAACCATAATATATTAATGTGGTTGTAGTAGAAAGTATTCTGCAAGAATGCTTTTGCCTTAGAATGATACTTAATAAAATTATCCAAGATGTTTTACGTACAACAAGTACATGCTGCAATGATCTTTATGGCACAAAAATAATATTTATATCCTCTGTTAATCTAGCTCTTCAGGAGGCGAGTTGTGGTATTTCTTCATTCACTCTCTGGAATGAAAATGTGCTTCAAAAATAACTTTGAATAGCTAATTATTTTGTTTAAGCAGAGAAAGACACAATTTCATATTATTTTCCTACTTCAGGAGAAAAATTCAATTGTTTTACTATTTCAGGAGCAAATTTAAAATATAAAATATTGAGTATATATTCTCTCAATCATAATACCTCTTCTGGAGGTGAATCGTAATATATTTACATTAAGAACGCGTTCATATTTACAAGCTTTATTAATATTGTCACATTCACTTCACGGAATGGATTAATATTATCAAAAGTTCTCTTCCTTCAAGAGATGGAATATAATTATTTGAACTTGCAATAACTACATTAAATTGTGATGGCGTTTGACCTCTTTTAATATATTTGCTACTTCAGGAGCAAATTGAGGTATGTATGTAATATAAATTTTTTTTCTATAACTTATCTTTATTGTAACCATAGCAAGCCTAAATTATCACTTCTAGTGGTCATAGGCATATACCCTTTCTGTTGGTTTACCAAATTTAGTTACAATGAGATATACGAAACACAACCACTTCTGATGGTTGTATATTTCTTGCAAATTCTGCTGGAGTTTAAGTGAATTTAACAATGTTATACACTTTGTAATCATTTATTAAGATAATTAGGATGAAAATGAAAATGAAAATGAAAATAAGTACTGTATACATAGCACATAAATGAGCAATTGATGATAAAGATATTAAACCAAATATAAGCAAAAAGCTCAAATTACTTTATACAAATTTGGCCACTCTAGACGTAAGTGATATCTACATCGCTACTATTAACAAGAAAAACTCACTACCTCAAGTATATAATTTGCTTTATGATGCTCAGAATGAACAAGATCTAATCACGAACGTAAGAGCGTCGCCTTATATCGGAGATGAACACTGAAATAGAAATTTAAATTCGAAGTAAGTGTTCAAAATGACAGAGTTCGTGCTGATAACGTGTTATAAAATAAAAACTGTAAAGTAAATAAACCGAAAACAAGTATAGATTGATATATTATTCAATTTCAAACTGATGTACATAATGAAGTGAAAACTTCTCTATTTATAGAAGAAAGAAAACAACTGCGAGGTTTTTCTTGAATTGCTTGTAAGTTGTCTGCATAAGCTGCTTGCAACCTGCATGTTTAATAAAAAACTGGTGCAAATCATTTCATTGAGTTGCTCAGCTGCTTGTAAATAAACTTCAATAGAGTACCAAACGGATAATCTTCTTCAGGAAGATTATCTATAGCGGAGTAATAAATGAACATCTACAATATAATTATTTTCATAACAATATTCACATTCTAAGTATTAAATGCAGACAGTCTTGTAACGAAAATTCTACAGTTGCGTAAAATACTAAAATTGCAAAATAATTCTTATATTTTGATTAACAAATTAAAACATTAAGACTTAAGAGTAGTTAGTTACTTCTACGGTTCCACCTCCACCATTAAATAATCCAGGAAGAAAATTGGGTAATTATAAACTTAGAAAGTCGTAAGGGGACATAAAGAGGGTTATCCGTGACTAAGACGCATTTCTACAAAAGTTTATTTTAGAAAAGCCCCTTCAAGGCTTTAAGGGGAACATCTTTTGGTTAACAGATAGATATGTTTCTCATTAATTAGGTTCTCATTTAATAACAGAATAAATTGACAAAAGACAGTAAAAAAAGAATGTAATTATTTTTTGGCTTATTATGCTTTTGATAAGTTATATAATAAACAGAATCAGTCACAAGTCATAGGTTGTCCTTAACTATTTATGGCTTAAAGTTATAAGTACTTTTGGTTTATCTAAGTCATTTATCATTTTATTTCTAATATTTTTTTGTAAGTTTCGAAATATCACACATATCAATTATTTAATATGCATGTTACGGCTTATTTATAAAATAAAATCACGTTTACCATTTAAAAGAAAAAATTTTAGTTTTTAATTCTTATCAGCTACAGTAGATTAATTAGCTAATCCAAATAAGCTCTAAATAAATCGAGTATATGAACATGTATACGTGAAATTTTGCAATAAATAGCTCATAAAATAATCTTAGTCGACATATAAAGAGGGAAAATTTCGAGGGAAGAACCGAAGAAGCGATTTAGAAAAAAGTAGTAGAAGTCAAAATCCGCGTAAATAATTTCATGAAAAAAGTAAGCAATTACGCGTCAATTATAACGTGTTGAACACAAGAATCCAATCAGAAGAAACAAATGGCCGCTGGCACACATTTTTAATTTGCTCTCAAATCAATTGTAAAAGTCTCAGCAAAGCCAGAGAAGGGGTTGGCCCAAAATTTAATTGTCATCCCCTCACCTAATGCCGCCATTTGCCGCCCTTCCCCATCCATACATTTTCCCATTCCCCTACCTATGGATCACCACGTCCTTTCACCATTTCCCCTGTTCCCTTTCCCCGCACACCTTAATAGTTTTTTTAATCATTTTGAATTGAGCGTGGACTATGAACAAGACGGAGCTACAATTTAAAATTTATGTATTCATATTTAATCCTTTTAAGTTACGACTTCTAAATTAGTAATTTAAACTTATTCCATGAATTTCAAATATAAAGTGTGAACTTTGGATACTACCTATGCTCTAGCTCCATCCTTGACCGTGTATGCTAGTAAAATAAGATTTTTGAGAGATGAGAGTTGGTGCGATGAAATCCATTATTTTTTTATTTGATCATAAGATTCAAACTTTACTGATCGGACTAATTTAGAATGATATACAACAATATACTTGACTCATTAGACGGAAATATTCCTGACCAGAAGTTTCACCAATTTCCGTATCCAAATATAGTTAGGGTGCTAACTTCAAACTTTCCTCCTGTTAGTAGTGGTCCTATTGGAACATGGGGGATATGCATTTTTTCATTTTCAAAGCAATAGACTGCTATTTAGTCTCTTTGATACACGTGCGATACCATTGTCTTTAAAGTTCACTTATATGGGCGTTGGGGTCAACCGTTTTCCCTTGTCTTGAACAAAATAAAGTTTGCCTAGAAATACATCAAATTTAAATGAAGAACAAAAGATAAGTTACGTACAAGTTTTGCTGCGGACCACATTTTAAAAAAAATTGAATAATAATGAAGCAGTAAATAAAGTTTGTCAAAGGTCGTGGCAACACCCCCACGCTCCCCTTCTCTTAGTCCTACGGCCCCCACTTCACCTTTTCTTGTTCCTCTCTTTTTTTTAGTCCTTTTATACCCTTTCGAGGGTCCCTCTCCTAATTGGCTAATTCCCTCGTTTCCATCTTTCCAATCTATTTATAGGCGTGTCCGAGAGAGCTTAGAGCAATAGAGCATTCTATATCAACTCTTCCATTATATCACTCTTCAAAGTCATATACTTATCCAAAGGCAACTTATTAAGCTTATAATACCACACTTTAATTCTAGCCATCATCTTTTCTCTTCCTATAAAAAAAAAAAAATGGTAGTGGCGACTCCAAATACACTGAGGCGTGGTAACAAAAAACCCACACCTTTCGGGATTCCAACAATTGATTTGTCTGAGGAGAAGTCCAAGGCGTCTGAGATGATAGTGAAAGCATGCGAAGATTACGGTTTTTTCAAGGTAACAAACCACGGTGTTCACAAGAAGGTAATTGCAAGAATGGAAAGGGAAGCCGTGGACTTCTTTTCACGTCCGGTTTCTCAGAAGCGACGTGCTGGACCTGCAACTCCGTTTGGATATGGTTGCAAAAATATTGGCTTCAATGGCGATAAAGGTGATCTCGAGTATATTCTCTTGGAAGCCAATCCTCTTTCGCTTTCTCAACGCTCCAAAACCATCTCTAAAGACCCTTATACCTTCAGGTAATTTATTTCGGTGTTATAATTTTATCTAAAAGTTAATAGATTTATTTAATTATATCTTCTGCACAGTTTACATGCGAGCAAGCTTGATTCTTTTCATGAGTCAAACATAAGAAGATTCTTTTTTATAATGGGTGTCGAGATTTGAATTTAGGACCTATCATATAAAAATTTAAACGGTTAGAAAAATATGTTTTTATTACTTTATTATATTTTCCACGAGCTGTTCCATAACCCAAATTGTAACTGGTTCATCATAATTAGCTCTAATACTTCGTACTTGATTGACAGCCACTTTGTCTTACGCCTTGAGTTTTATTTTTACCTTTTCTCCTTCAAGAATAATCACATTTCTGATTTGATTTTACAAGACCTTGATATCACATATGCACATTAATTCAACGGGCATGTAGATAAACCAAGCTGATGAAACGCGTAGCTTCTACAGCTTTGTTCATTGGACTAAGTCTAAGTCATGGAAACAAAGCGTAATTTGTTCTTCTGATTAGTATGCTTGCCCCACTTAACTAAATCGAGTGGGTATTTATATAATACTCCATCCGCTCACTTTTACTTGACACGTTTTGACTTTTCACGCCCCTTAAGAAATAATAAATGAAATGCACAATTTACCATGTTACCCATATTAATTGATGCATATTTTATTGGATTTGAGAAAATGATTTGAAATGGTAATAAATACCGCGGGCAAAACAGAAAAAATTTATTGTCTTCTCTTGATATGCGTAAGTGCCAAATAAAAGTGAACATCTATTTTTAGTATACATGCCAAGTATTATGAATTAAGTCGCATTTTCGTATTGTTCATCTCATGTTCACGTAATACAATATTATACAATTTGGTCCGGTTACATCATCAATATGTAAGCTGGAGGAAAAGAATATTTACTTCTTTCTTGAAGATATTTTTCGAGGAGACATTAATAAGTCTTCTCAAACTGTAGCAAACTTTTCATCAAAACTATCTACAATTTTAAATATTGTAGCAAAAAGATAAAATGTCTGTAGTGGGAATCTCATCAGCCGTATTGTTACTTTGTTAGTTATTTTGAGGCTAATCAAATTAATGGTTACCTGGAAACAGGCTAAAAAATAGTAATTTTTTATAAGGATGGCAACTCCTTTTCAGTTTTCAGAGAAACAGATAGGTTGTCAGGTATTAATTAAAATATCTCTGTTACCTAATGCTTATTGTGTGCTAGCTAGCAGCTGACTATTGACCAGCCAAAAGGCCATTGATAAGTGTTTATAATTCAAGTCAAATATATGTTTACACGTACGTGCATGGACCCCATTTTTAGGTCAATATAGTAACCTTAGTTGGATGGAAAAAACTTTTCAGATAGTAGCATGCTAAGTACATAGACACGACCAGACCACCTTTTTTTTTCGAATTTTAGGTGTATCAAATTATCATCTTCCTAATCCCCAAACAGTTGCACTGTCAACTGCAAACTTGCAGCATATGTTTCTTTTTTATATATATCTATATGTTAGACTTGTTGTTTTCTTCTAATAGAAATTTTTTATTACTAAAATATACTCCTACTTACTGTTTTTTTCTTTTATTTTTTGGCGTTGACAAGAATAATGTATATTAATATAATACTAGTAACTATCGGGAAACAGGATAAGTCAATGCTAATAAAAATAATGTAATGGAAAATTTTCATATACGTCTTAGGCCTAGGACCACCTAACAAGAAAAAGTCAGAAGTTTTTTATTTGATTTAATTTTATTGGTTTAATACTTATAATATCTAACTACTTAGCGATTAAGTAGAGGTAGCGGTTTGTTCTTGGGTACTTGAGCTGATGTCAATATGCAATTTGTCTTGTAAATTTTGCAGCTGCGTGGCAAACGATTACGTAAGTGCAGTTAAGAATCTGGCTTGCGACATTCTTGAATTGGTGGCGGAAGGTTTAAGGATCCAAGACAAGTCTATTTTTAGCAAACTCATAAGTGATTCCCAGAATGACTCTTGCTTCAGGATCAATCACTATCCACCACTCACTGCACCTAATCATCAACAAGAATTCAATCATAATTGGGACCCATCACCAGTAGAAGAAGATCGACGACTCCACATCTCTCCTCTCCCTACCGTTGGATCAAAATCAAGAATTGGATTTGGAGAGCATACTGACCCTCAGATATTGACCATCCTTCGATCAAATGACGTTAATGGCCTTCAAATCTGTTCCCATGACGGTTTCTGGATCCCCGTTCCTCCGGACCCCAATGAGTTCTTTGTTTTCGTCGGGGACTCCTTTCAGGTCTGCATATACGCTGACAGTATAATAAATAATTATTGATTAATGTATGTCAATTTTTTTTTAATGGTATAAATGATCTTATACGTATTTGATTGTGTAAAAAATTAATTTCTAATGTTCATGTATATATCAAAACTAAAATTCAATGACTAATAATGGGAAAAATAATGGTGCAGGCTTTGACGAATGGAAGATTTACAAGCGTGAGGCATAGGGTGGTGGCGATGAATTCATGGAAGACGAGAATGTCAATGATGTATTTTGCGGCTCCTGCACTTGACGCTTGGATAAGTGCTCCTCCTCAAATCAAGAATAAGAGTATTATCCCTACAAATAATAGTAATATCTACAGGCCTTTCACGTGGGGTCAGTTCAAACAGATTGTATATTCCTTGCGTCTTGCTGATAGTCGTCTCGATCATTTCAAGAATCACACCCAATGACAATCCTCCTTGTCCCGCTCAAGTTTTTTTTAAGGTGACTGGTTTTAGATAAAAAAGTCTTACGTCGGGTTAAATGCTTTCTAACAAAGGCGATTCTATACTTAAATTTTAAACTCGAGATCTTTAATTAAGGATGACGGAGTAATTACTACTTTATATACCACAATTCTTGTTGGTCTCGCCTGCTAGCTCTAGATATAATTCCCAATAGAATGCTAACTCGCTTTGTCATGATTTTTTTTTTCTTCTTTGTTTTTGCTTATTAACTTTTATATTTGCTCTCCAGGAGTACCTAGCTATTGCGTACTTCAATGTGAGGAAAAGTCTTTTAGAGGGTTAGGAGGTATTTGTAGTAATTTTTAGATGGTGTATTAGTGTAAAAAATCTTTTGCGCTTTGTCAATGTATAAAAGTTATATTATTTTCTTATCATACCTTTGTTCTACCCGCGGTCCATTATTCTTATTCTGACAATTGATGGCAATTCTTTTTGGTGTCTTCAGCCAGCTAATAAAAAGAAACCAGCTAATCCTATATGTAGCTCTTGTGGCACAATCTGGACTAATTACCAATTTAACCACAAATATGTTAAATCCACATTGCATCAAACCCTTTAAGCTGAAAAAGTGGAACTTGTCTATGTCAGCCGTCTCTTTGATATTACTTCTGCGCATGCTTATTGAAAGTCACAATCTATCCTGGCTAAGTGGCCATATATCACATCTTTAGTGATTAGTAACTTGGAAATATTGTGCAAGATTAGTATAAGTGGAATGGAGAATTCCAGTTAAGCTAGCTAGCATTGTCTACCTCATATGAATTTCCTTTTGCATGATGACTATGGACTCTTTCAAATTAAGTTTAGTAGGAATGAATCTGCTATAATGGCTTAGCCAAAATGGACAGAAACTATATTAAAAAGAAGACTTGGTTATTATTAAAAGAAATACTAAATTGAAGGGTAAATGTGTAGCAGTTCTACAAAAAAAGGTGATAATGCATACTGATGAAAATGAAAAAAGTACATGAAAAATGAAATTTTATTTAAATCAAGCTTATCAGCAACTAACACGTTAGGTGATCGAATTAGGTCTCCTGTACTTATAGCTAATTGGGCTATTTTTGAAACTTTTTTAATACCTTTAGGCCGAAAAAGACTAATGAAATTGGGCTACTGATGGGTTGTTGAACTCCCATTGATTCATATATCTCACGTTATACGTGAATAGACCAACTCTCTCAGAAACTACTATTACAGCTTCAAAGGTAAGATTTGCATGAAACCAAATTATTTCCACTTTCATACTTTGGATTTTTACAATAAAGTTTCTATGAAATATTGCGGTAATTCAACCTCTATATATACCTTTTCTTTTTTGTACTTTGGAAAAACTAAATTAAGTTCTAAAATTCTTTCATATGCCACGCGGCTCAAATCTGCGCGCTAGGAGAAGAAACTACATTTCCACTGCAACAATATATTTTTAGTTTCATTTTCTAGGTTATCAACCATTGATTACATGTAGCAGATTTATAGTGTAAAACTTACATGCAAGAAGGGGCACTTGCAAGTTACTAGCTTAGCTTGGTAATAATTGGTTACGGATTGTTAAAGCAGATTTGCACTTATCTAACTGAAGTAGGTAAAGAAACATATATTATGAAAGTCCAAATTCTTTTCGTGTTGCCAAATGAGTAGTTGAGGTGCTGATGATCAACTCTGGCAGCCTATATTAAACCTTATAGGTAGTAATAGTATATTAATTTTTTGTTGGAAAGAAAGGAAATTAAAGCCCCTTCACTATTGGAAGAAATTGTACTTAGAACTGTACCCTCTCTCTCTCTATATATTTATTTCTGTCTTTTGATACAGCAATTTGTTAGCAAATTAAAGAATGGCATCGCTAGTGTTGCTTCTAGAAGCACTAATTGTCAGAGCTCATAAGGAAATTAATTTGCAAGGAACAGATGATGTGCTGTTTACTGATGATGGAGAAGCAGACAACAATAATAGTAACACTAGTTTGGTTTTTGGTAACAAGGATTACTATTACTATTATGGCTGGATATTTGAGGCTGAGGATGTCCCTAGCTGGAAGATCATATCTCAGGGCTGTATTTGGCCTTAATTAGGCGAGACAAAACATTTCCAAGTGTATATATATATACAGTGCTAGTATATGTTATGTAAATCTTTTCTTTATTCATGCTCTGATCCTAGTGTCATTGTCAAGAAATGGAAGTCGGATCCTAGTCATATCCAACTTTGTCCATATCTTAGGGCCAATTTTTATGATATGAATTTGAATGTGATGTCAATTGAACGGGCAGCCTAAATATACTAGTCTCCTATGGCTTCTCCTGCTCCTCTTCTGAACTTCTCCTTCTTTGCCTTCGTGATCTCTTTCTCTCTGTAGATTGATTAATTGTCGTTGAGAATTGAGCAAAATATTTTTGGATTTGGTTCAAAAGGCTGATATCAAATACGTTATGAGAGCCCAAATTAAAGAGAATTAAGACGTATAAGCGCAGTAACTGACTCAAGAAGGCAGCTCGATGGAAATATCAAGCTACAATAACTCAGCCTCTCACACCATTCGAACGACCACAAGTTGTGATTCTGATTTAAAAAACTGTACTAGAATTATTGGTACTCAATGTAACCCCTTCAGAAACAATATGGTAAGGGCACTTCAAAAATTAATACTTCAACATGTATATCTACAGGAAAAAAGTAAACTTGGAAGAATAACATATCATACGAATAGCAGGGCAGGGAATACCATGAGGCTAACATTTTGGAGAAAATAATCAAATTATAAGATGCATCTTTTACAACAAATTAAATGCGGTACATAATGTATTCTTTATTCAAATTAATAAATTCGTTATTTGCCTCGCAACATAAACAACAACGGAGATGTGAACGTGTAGATGCAATAAGAAAGTTCATACGTGATGCACATAATAGAGGTACTACTTAAAATTTGTGGTGGATACATATAGGATAAGTTAAATTTACTAGTACTAGGGATGTATGAGCCAAGAATTGCCATCAATATAATAGGTGCCAATAAAAGGCGTGGCCTCTTCATCGGTGAGTATTCGTGCCCACGGCACTCTTCCTGTCATGTTGGCTCCTGGTCCACTGCACCTGTACTCCCCGTAGTAAACTCTCCTACATCCATTTTTCACATTGTTTTTTATACTTTGGCAAACCAATTTGATATTTAAAAGACCAACAAAACCAGAAAATAATAAAGACTTACGAGTCTCGACTTGTTTTGCCCCAATCGCTCCATCCTAGGGGAAGAACAATCTTGTCCATGTAAGTGTAAGAAAATATTACTCTGGAATAATCACCCCAGGCTCTTCCCAAATAAACCGAACCTGTCCCTGTTATGGTGCTGTTCTTGAACGAGAATCCACTTAATATTGACGAATTTGTTCGCTTTTGGGCTGTCAGGGACGCTACTTTCTTTGCCACCGAGTTCAAGTGGCAGTTCTATTCATATCATTAAAAAGACAAAGAAAAAAGAAAAAAGAAAAAAGAAATTAATAGTAGTATTAAGTTTGTACTCACCGTTACAAAAAGATGGGGAGCATAGTAGTACTTTACATGTGTTAGACTTGAAATTCTTGATCAGTCTTTGCTAATAATTAGTACTCCATCCGTTTCAATTTAGATGAGTTAGTTTGACTTGATAAAAAATTTAAGAAAAAAGAGAAGACTTTTGAAATTTGTGGTCTTAAAAGCTTAAGGGGTAAAAGCTTTGTGGGGCCATGACATTTGTGTGATTGTAAAAATTCTTATTAAGGGTAAAATGACTAAAATGAAGAGTTTAAAGTTGAATTATTTTCAATTGTAGAAATATGTCAATCTTTATGGAACGGACTAATAAATAAAGTGTGTCATCTAAATTGAAACAGAGGTAGTACTAACTTATGATTTAATGAGTAATTCTTACACCCCAGTTCCTCTCCACATCCCATAAAAAAAGAGTATAATTCGAATCACACCCATATCATGTTATGTTTTGAGCCTAACAACTTGTTTGGATGGTTGTTACCTATTGTATCGTATTGTTGCGTTAAATATGTTGAGAGTAATAAAATTTAAAGCAAGAGTTGTACTTTGTATTATTTATGAGTTGGTTAGTCTATTAAGTAAGTAGTTAGTAGAGAGGTTAATTAGTTGATGACAACTAAGCATAGATAGTGTATATATTAGTTACGTGTACTTCATTTTCTTTTTTGAGCTTCAATGAAACAGTTGCACAATAGAGTCTTCTTCTTCTCTTCTCGCTCTATCTCTGCATGTCATCTTTTTCGTCTCTCTCTCTCTCTCTTAATTCTTCATAGTATCAGAGCAAAGAGCTATGGATTGTAGCTCATTATCGATTCGATCTAACATCTGCTTCGCATTCTCTTCATCGAAGCCCTAATCTGCTTAACAATGGCGGTAGATGATTTGGAGCTAGGAAATACAGCTACTACAACTGATAATTCTCAAATCTCATCTGATGATGATTTTGAAGAAGGAGTTACAGTCACTGCTACTTATCTTCCGTATCTCGCTCATGCAGATACCATTGGGATTTCTCTCATCTATTTTTAACTCACCGGCACAGACAATTTATCGATGTGGTATCGATCTATGAGAATTGCTTTGCTCGGTCAGAATAAGCTCGAAATTGTGGATGGTAGATGGAAAAAGGAATGATTTCGTGAAAAATATTGGTACCAGTGGAAAAAGTGCAATGCAATTGTGCTTTCATGGTTAATGAATGCAGTTGCTCCAAACCTAATTAGTGGAATCACTTATGCTACCAATGCACATGCAGTATAGATGGATCTATAAGAGCGATTTATAAGGTAAATGACACTTGATGCTACAACTTGCACAAAGTAATTGCTACTCTCAGTCAAGGTACCTCCTCTGTCTCTGTTTATTATTCCAAGCTTAAAAATCTTTGGGATGAAGCTGAGGTACTAGTGCTTAGTCATGGTTGTGACTGTGTTAAGTCTAGGGATTTCATTGTGCATTTGCACAAACAGAAACTTTAATAATTTCTCATGGGCTTGAATGATTCCTATTCACAAGCACACAACCAAATACTTATGATGAAACCAATACCTTCTGTAAATCAAGCTTATGCTATGCTAGTTAGTGATGAAAGTCAGAGAGTTATAGCAGCCACATCTGGTATTCTAGGTCCTCTACCTAATGTACATGTTGGTCACTATGAATCTACAACACTTTATAGTTCTAAACCAATTGGAAGTCAGAAATTCAGGAAAAATTATAACATACAGTGTGAGTTTTGTAAGTTTAAGGGACATAGCAAAGAAAACTGTTATAAGATCATTGGCTATCCACCTGACTATAAGTACAAGAAGAAAGGGGGAGCACCCACCACTGCTAGTAATGCTTACAATGTATTTTTTGAGACTAACAATGTTGTAAAGAATTTCACACCTCAAATGTGTGTGACTACATGATGCATTCTAGGAGCATCTCACATGCACACTACAGAGGGCAATACTGCAGGTAATGCTGCAACTTCATCTGCATCAATGAATCAGGAACTTCCACAGGTTCCATTAACTTTTACTAGGGATCAGTATGATCAAATACTTCAGTTTCTCAATAAGGCATCCTGCTCCTCATCTACTCCCATTGCTACATGTATAAGTACTGCATTCTTAGCTACTGATAATGTGCAAGAGTGGATTATTGACATAGGTGCAACTGATCATATGGTCTCTGACCTTAGCATGTTAACCTTATTTAATACAGTTGATCCTCCTTACTCTAAGAAGGTATTATTACCTAATAATGATGTTTCATATGTTAAGCATGTTGGTACTAGTGCTATTTTAGAAAAGAGTGTTATAAAAAATGTGCTTCATATACCATAATTCAAGTTTAACTTGAGATATCAAAGGTAACCAAATAGCTGCATTGTTTGGTTGCCCTTTATCCCAATTTTTGCATATTTCAGGATCTCTTCAATGGGAGGGTGAAGACGATTGGTCGAGAAGATAAAGGTCTCTACATATTACCCTCTTGGAGCTCATCAACTACCAATAAGCATACTGCAGAAACATCACTAGCAGCCACACAGAATGAGGATATGTACACTAAGAGAACACCTACAAAATATGGATCTCAAACTATGGTACAAAAGACTTGATCATGTGACTTCCTCAGTTCTAAACAAACTATTTTCAATAAAGCAGGGGAGCTGTATTTCTATTGTAAAAGATTGTTCTGTTTGTCCACGTGCTCGACTGACTAGACTACCTTTTCCTAGTAGTACAAATAAAAGTGCAGCTTCCTTTGACTTGCTACATTTGGATATATGGGGACCCTATAACACTGCAACTATTAATGGTAATAGATACTTCTTAACTATAGTGGATGACTACTCTAGAATGACTTGGATTTTTCTTTTAAAACTCAAGTCAGATGTGTGTGTTATCCTAAATGATTTCCTGATGTATGTGAAAACTCAGTTTGACAAATAAGTTAAGTGTGTTAGGATTGATAATGGATCTGAATTTGTTAATTTTGTTTGTGATGCTTTGTTCAAAAACCTTGGCATTATCTATGAAAGAGCATGTGTTTATACTCCTTAGCAAAATGGAGTTGCTGAGAGAAAATATAGGCATATTCTAGAAGTGTGTAGAGCTCTAAGGTTTCAAGGTTGCATTCCTTAAAAGTTTTGGGGGCACTGTGTGTTGGCAACTGCTTATCTCATAAACAGGATGCCCTCTTCACAGCTAGGTCACAGGTCTCTTTATGAGTTATTATATAGGAAAAAGCCTTTGCTTGTGCACCTCAGGGTCCTAGGTTGTCTGTGTTATGCCAGGATTGTCAATAAGACTGATAAGCTCCAACCAAAAGCTATCATTGCTGTCCACACGAGTTACTCTTCTTCTTAAAAGGGATACATTCTTCTTAACTTGTCAACTAACTCCTTTTTTGTTAACATATGTAACATTTAGGGAGGATATTTTTCCATTCTAGCAGTTCTCCTCTCACAAATAGTTTGTGTTCCTTGATACATCTTCTTCTGTTTTACCACATATTACTGAGAAATGGTATGCTCAAGATGCTTCAGCAGGATCTAACTAGAACTCTGCTGCACATGACTCTTTAGTCTTACCACATGCAACCTCTTCTTCTCCTAGCAGCACTGACTCAAATGCAAGTTCGTTACCAACTGCTGCATCACCAGGTGTTGAGGTCTCTCAAGTTGATTTTCCTGCCCTTAGGAGATCAGCCAGAGACAAGCATCCACCATTATGGACGAAGGACTTTGTTTCTCTTCATGCTAATCAACACACTCCCTATGGCCTAACAACCTATATGTCCTATGTTCACCTGTCTCCTCATCATCAGGCTTTCATTGCCTTTGCCTCTTCTGAGGTTTAGCTTGTCTCTTATGCTGAAACAATCAAGGACCCTAGATGGGTGGCTGCTATGATATCTAAGATTGCTTCTTTAGAGGATAATCATAAATGGGATGTTGTGACCTTACCGACTGACAAGAAACCCATTGGATGCAAATGGGTGTACAAAATAAAGTACAAGGCATATGATGAAATTGACAAGTTCAAAGTCAGGCTAGTTGCCAAAGGCTATAGCCAGAGAGAAGGCATTGACTATTAGGAGACTTTCTCTCCTATTGTCAAGATGGTTACAGTCAAAACAATTCTTTCTATTGATGTTGTACAACACTGGCACATTCATCAAATGGATGTGTCAAATGCTTTTCTCCAAGGTGATCTTCATGATGAGATCTACATAGACCTGTCTCAGGGCTTTGCGAGTCAGGGGGAGCAGCAGGTATGCAGACTCATCAAATCCTTATTTGGTCTCAAGCATGCCCCTAGACAATGGAATGCAAAGCTTTCAGAGGTTGTGTTATAGTTTGGTTTCATGCAGAGTCAACACTACCATTCTCTGTTCATAAAAGGATCAGGAGGTAACCTTGTTGTACTCATCTTAGTTTATGTTGAATATATGCTAATTACCGACAACAATCTAGCATTGATTAGAGAAGTCAATTCTTCTTTGCAGTAGGCCTTCAAAATGAAGGACCTAGGAGAGTTAAGATACTTCTTAGGGATTGAATTTGCTAAGTCCAAGTAGGGAATCTTAATGCACCAGAGAAAATACACTATAGAACTTATCTCTGAGCTAGGACTGGGAGTAGCAAAGCCAACAGATATACCACTTGAAACAAATGCAAGGCTCATTACAAAAAAGTTTGATGATCACCTGGCTAGTCCAAGCCAGGGGGAGGATGAGTTACTGTCTGATGCAAGCTCTTATCAAAGGCTTATACGCAAGCTACTCTACTTAACCATAACAAGACCAGACATTGCATTCAATGTGCAAACCTTAAGTCAATTCATGCATCAACCAAAGATATCACATTTTGAAGCTGCCCTAAAAGTGGTCAAGTATGTAAAAAACCCAGCCTAGACAAGGAGTACTTCTGTCAAGTAAAGCTGACAAGAGGATCACAACCTACTGTGATGCTGACTAGGCAACTTGTCCATATTCTCGCAAATCTTTAACAGGTTTTCTTGTCAAGTTTGGTGATTCACTAATATCTTGGAAGTCTAAGAAATAAAGCACCATATCTAGAAGCTCAGCTGAGTAAGAATATAGGAGCCTAGCCTCTACAACTGCAGAGTTAACATGGATTTTGGGGCTATTCAAAGAAATTGGAATAGAGGTGCAACTTCCAGTTGAGGTTCACATTGACAGCAAAGCAGCAATGCAAAAAGCAGCCAATCCAGTGTTCCATGAGAGAGCCACGCATATAGAGATTGACTGCCACTTTGTAAGAGAAAAAAATACAAAAGGGGCTGATAAGAACTGAGTACATTTCCACCAAAGAGCAACCAACAGATTTGCTAACCAAAGGGCTCACCAGAGTTCAACACGGATATCTTTGTTCCAAGTTAGGGATGCTTAATGTGTTTGCACCACTTATTTTGAGGGGGAGTGTTGAGAGTAACAAAACTTAAAGCAAGAGCTGTACTTTGTATTATTTATGAGTTGGTTAGTCTGTTAATGTAACGAATCGGCCGGTCGTTTCGAGAGTTATAACCCTATTTTCCCCATTCCTACTTCTTTTTATGTTATTCAGCTATATTATGTTATATCGAGTTAGTTTGTTCGAGTCCGGACGGAACTCGGAGTGAAATGAGATACTTAGTCTCATAATTAAAGATTTTAAGTTAGAAAAGTGGACCGGATATGGACCTATGTGTAAACGACCTTAGATTTGAATTTTGATGATTTTAATAGCTCCGTATGGTGATTTTGGGCTTAAGAGCGTGTCCGGAATATTATTTGGAAGTCCGTAGAGGAATTAGGCTTGAAATGGAAAGTTTTATTTTTGAGAAATTTAACCGGGGGTTGACTTTTTGATATCGGGGTCGGAATCCAATTCTGAAAATTGAAATACCTCTGTTATGTCATTTAGGACTTGTGTGCAAAATTTGAGGTCAATCGGACGTGATTTGATAGGTTCCGGAGTTGTTTGTAGAAATTAGAAATTTCAAAGTTCATTAGGCTTGAATTGGGGCGTAATTCACGGTTTTAGCGTTGTTTGAGGTGATTTGAGGATTCGACTAAGTTCGTATGATATTTTAGGACTTGTTGGTATATTTGGTTGAGGTCCCGAGGGCCTCAGGTGAGTTTCGGATGGTTAACAGATCAAAAATTGAACTACAACAGCTGCTGCAATTTCCTTATGTTGGAAATTTCTTCTACTAGATT